AGCTGACGTACGATTCGCTGGTTTTGGTGCTGCAGCACGGCACCTCTACCGATCGCAGTAGGCTGAATCTGGCCTCGGAGCAATTAGAAATGTGGGAATCCTCCGATCCCAGCATCTGGGGTTTATTCTTGCACATTGCATTCTCCAGAGGAGCAGCAGGTTCGACGAATCGTTTGAGGCTGGATAGTAATGCGGTGGCCTATGGTGGAAGTGATGAAGAGGCTCAGATATTGGCTGTTAGACAAGTGGCCATGATCCGATTCAAAAATGGAGTGGACAGGTTTTGGAGGAGCAGAATGGTCAATCGCACCACCGTCACCATCCCGCAAGAAGAGAAGCAGAGATTGAGGAGCAAGTTGTGGGACTGTCTGAACGAACCTCATAGGAGTGTAGGTCGATCGGCGGATGCTCGGGTAGCCCGGAGATGCCGCACTTACTGATCAGCTTCTCCAACATGCATTGCACACACACTACAGATCGCTCTGCATGCTGCAGTGTCCATCAATAGGATAGCAAGGCATGACTTTCCCACACACTGGGGAAGCTTGTTTGACGAGCTGCTACAGCATCTCTCCAACGCTCACTCGGAGCAGGCTACCGCTTCGCAGGAACTAGGGCCAGACTCGGAGAGAGCGAGAGCGGCCAGACTAAGGCTTTTGAGGGGTAGCGATGTCTTGCAGAGGGTGTTGAAGGAGCTCGGCACAGTCAAAATGCTTGCTGGTAGGATACGGATGACCACTGTGGGTACATTGTGGACGGAAGAGAAACAGAGAGAGAGGGAGATGACGTAGAAGTCTTGCTAACTCCTTTCCGCCCGCGTCGACTCGAGGACAGCTGGCCAAATCCTTGCTGGGCCCTCTCAGCTCCATTTTTCATCAATACTTTGTCGAGACGTTCCCATCCGAGCCCGAGAACTTGTCTGCTGCCGAAATGGCAAGCTGGGCTTCAGGCGTCCAATTAGCGGATCGCGTGCGCACTAGTCAACTGCTCCTCCGAGCGGTCATGCACTTGACCTTGGCAGATCCAGGTCTGCTCACCGTCTCGACAACGAGCGAAGGAGGATCGAGCGCAAACGTGGCGATGCATATATTCGCCTCTACGCCAACTCTCCTTTCTTGTTTATCCAGCACCAGACTCTGCTACCTGCGACTCTACCGCAATGCGACGTCTTCAGAACAAGCTGAGCATCTACCTCTCCTCACAAACCTCACCAAGCACTTGCTAGGCTTCGGCAAGTTGTACTTGGCGCTGATCGGCAAGGACAGAAGCAAAGCTGCGAGATGGAGCGGCTGGGACGACCTTATCCTTTGGTATTGGTCACAAGCGAGGAGCGTCGACGATGAGACGCTGTCCGTCTCAAGGGACACAGCTACCACCTCTCCCGAAGCGCTAGTATTAGATCGACCTCCCAAATTCATTATACAAGCGCTGATGCTCTTGAAGCAGACGCTGACAGAATGGAGAGGCAACTCGACATCGGAGAGCAAGACAGACGTCATTGCACCCCCGCCTTTCAACGATGCCAACTTTCTCAAGCGCGTGGCGGATACGCTCGTCGAGAGGCTCATGAGGCTGACGAGGGACGATTTGGAAAAGTGGCAAACTGATCCGGAAGAATGGGCAATCGGAGAGAGCAACGAGTCGATCGATTTGGACATTCGTCCAGCTGCCGAGAGGACGCTGATGGTGTTGGCAAATTATTCAAGGCCAAAGAGGCTGGTCGGAGAGCATCTGTGGGGCAAATTTTTGGCACTCGGGAACGCTACGTCGGTCGGTACGGGAGACTTGGGCCAGATCTTGATTCGCGATGCCGTGTATGCTGCGGTCGGAAGGTGTCGGGACTACCTACCGAATCAGGATCAAGATGGTCTACCTGCTGACGAAGCGCATTCAGCAGCCGATGCGAGCTCAGCAGCTGCAGAGAGGCTAGTGTCCGAAGGGATGCTGGACGCTTCGGCAGGTCCAGCTTGGATCATCATTCGACGCAGGATTGCCTGGATATTGTGGGAGTGGTCAGAAGAGATCAGAATACCGCACCGACCTGCCGTTTATGCGGTACTCGTCTCCCTGCTAGAGGATTCCCCGGGAAGGACAGATGTAGCTGTGCGCCTGGCAGCTGCGAAGTCTTTGGGCGCACTCGCGGACACGCTGGAGTTCGATGCGGACTCTTTCGCCCCGTACATTGAGCCGGCGCTGATTGGACTTGCTAGATTGGTGGGAAATTCGGAACTGGACGCAGTGGATAGCATACGATCTTGCACTACCAGTCTCTCCATATTGACGGAAAGACTTGGCGCAAGAATACTACCACACATCGACACTATGGCGAGACTTGTACCTACTCTTTGGAACAGCAACGATGATCCGCAATTGCTCGGAAAGAGCTCTATTCTCACGTTTGTGGCCAAGCTGGTCAGGACCGTCGAGCTTGTACCGTATGAGCAAAATGGACCAGCGGAGAATTTGCATCACGTAGTGGAGCCCTTGGTCAGACAATCTCTTTCCAACCCAGTGCGTAACGTCGGCTTCTCCAGCATGGCGCACGTGCTGACCATGTTTTCGCAACCCTTGATAGGACGCACTAGGTCTGATCGGCAAAGATGCTCTGAGCCTGTGGGCTAGGACACTCAGATCGACTCCTGCCATGACACCTCCCCTCTTTGGACTCTTGGATCTGTTGCCGCACCTACTCGCCTTGCCAGATTTTGCGCCGGACGCTTGCAGCATATTCGAAGAGGCGGCGATGCTCGTTCCAGTTGAGCTTTGTCTCGTGAGTGGCGTGGAGCGAGTACAACCGCGCAACGTATGTCGCTTACCTTTCTTGTGGGGCTTCACTTCCTCAGCATCATGGCCACACCATCTTTGATGCGCTTGCGAGCATCCTGGCAGATACCGAGAGCGCAAATGTCTTGTCCCCCATCAAGGCGGTCGACACCCTGCTGCAATCTCTGCACGCTGTTGGACAAGCTGGAGATCACTGGAT